ACCAGCCATCCCTATATGGGATCCGAACCAGTGGCCTTGGTGTTATCAGCACCGCACTCTCCCGAGTGAGCAATGGGCCGGCCCCTTCTCTTTTCCTTTCTTTCACCTTGCTTGCTCACAGTGCATGCTCTGCCTTTAAATTTGTACAGACTACTTCCATGTGCTCAGTGTGGGACACTGGCCGGAAGCCCCTTAGAAGGCACAGGAAAGGGACACGTACAGGATTTGAGTTTTTCACTTTGAGATTTTTTCGTTATTTGCAAGATGGAACTAATTCTTGAGGTAACACATTATATTATTTGGGTTGCTAATATTCCAGATACCAAATTTCCTGTACCTTTCAAGTTAAAGTTCTGGAGCAATGAGGTATAAAGGTAATCGAAGCAAAGACTGCCTTTAGGTTGGCTCCTCAAACTCTGTATCTTCTAAATGTGATGTGATAACATGCTGGATTTAAAGGACAGTACCCAAAGAAAGAAAGAAAGAAAGAAACCACCATCTCAAAGCTTATATAGCTAAATAAGGATTGTCCCTCAAAGTAGCTCCCCTTGGAAGAAATATATATACTATATATGTTTGTTTCATTGATGTCACTACTTCAAATCATTCTTTTAATGAAATGGGAGAAATTTAATATTGATAAATAATGAGATTCCAGTGAAGTTGTCACTTAAAATGTTTTTGGAACTTCTCTTTAGGAATTGTGTTCAGAACTAGCTTGCTAGTGACACAGAAAACTGATTATATCTTTTTTTTTTTAAAGATTTATATCTTTTGGGGCCGAGCCCATGGTGCACTCGGGAGGGTGCAGCGCTGGGAGCGCGGTGGTGCTCCCTCCGCGGGTTCGGATCCTATATAGGGATGACCGGTGAGCTCATAGCGCTCACTTGGCTGAGCGCAGTGCGGCCTGTCTCAAAAAGGACAAAAAAAAAAAAAAGATTTATATCTTTTGGGGCCGAGCCCCTGGCGCACTCGGGAGAGTGCGGTGCTGGGAGCGCAGTGACGCTCCCGCCGTGGGTTCGGATCCTATATAGGAATGGCCGGTGTGCTCACTGGCTGAGCGCAGTGTGGGTGACACCACACCAAGGGTTGCAATCCCCTTACCGGTCACAAAAAAGACAAAAAAAAAAAGATTTATATCTTTTGATCATTTGCTTTTTTGTAAGCTTGCCATTTATATTTATAAAGCTTACCTCCAAATGAGTCTTGGCTGCTGTCAATAATCAAATCCATCCTCAAAGGAAGGTGAGCTGTTATTGAGAGTACTGAAGTCATAGACTCAAAATATGAAAGCATTTCCTCTCGAGGAATTTCAGAAAACACTGAAGCACAGCAGCATTCTTGTAACCTTTATTCTTACCATTTTATTGTGAGAATGCATCTGGTAACAGGGACTGTCAGCATTTAAAAACATAATTGTGTGCTTTGGTATTGTTTTCAGTATTTACTGCCTAAAATCCTATTTAGATTTTTCACTTCATTTTGGTTTGGGAACCTAATTTGCAGGTTAAAATTATAGAGGATGTTGTATTTTCATAGAGATTTATCCCTCATCTATGTTTGGTAGCATTTCAGGTCTGCTTTTTCAGGGGGTCGGGAGGATGGGGGAGTATTAATATGATCATCTTGCACAAGATCATGCAGTTAAGAGATCACATTGGAGACTGAGACTCTTGTGCTGAGAAGTTCATTACATCTTTCATTGTTATCTGAAAGACTTTAATAGCCATTTTATGAATTCCACTGATCATAAAAACATTTAATAGAAATTTATTGTATTTCTTGCATTTTTGATGGTGTCATTGGCCATTAAGTTAGATATTTAATCTGAACATTTTAAGTAAATAGAGTAAGATATTTTCAAAATGAAAATAAAATTATTAAAATATTAGTGATGGTATATAAAAACCTCTACATTTTGATTTTCGGGTTTTGACTTTCATTCATGTTTATAACCTTAATTATAAGAGCATACTAATTAAATTAATACATCGGTGAGGAGCCAGTAAAGTACTTGTAGTCATAGCATACATTAATTTCATGATTTCTCTATCTTTGTTTTAGCCAAAGTCATACACTTGCTATCAAAAAGTTATGCTGGAAGAATTGCAGTGGAAGAACTGAACAGAATGAAGCAGAAGGTGCTGAGTGGTTACACTTTGCAAGTTGTGGTGAAGATCACACTGTGAAGATATACAGAGTTAACAGATGTGCGCTGTAATGAGCTTAATAACTACACACTTAAAATCATTGGCAACTTAAAATATTTATCATGTAAATAGATCATCTTTCTTTACCTTCATAATTGAATTGCGTCAGATAATTAAGTCAGATAGTAGTTCTTGTTTTGGTCCTAGACCCTTTTAAGTCTGATGAAAACTGTGGATTCTTTTCTTTGTTATATAATATGTACCCACATACCCAGAACTTTGCACATACTTTCAGAGATTCTTGGATCTGCCTTTGTGTCCCAGATTAAGAACCTCTTTTCTTTCTTCAGGACCAGATTTGTCTGATTTTGTGTTATTTTGTGCCTTTTCATTTGCCCTTCTTTGGGATGTTTAATTATTTATTACTCTTTTTAGAGGATGGACATATGTTGGTTCCTCGCCACCGGGGACCAACAACACAGGGCGGGAAGGGACCCCGGACCAGCCGGCGGTAACCTCTTGTGGGGCTGAGCGGGATGATGAGTGTCGCAGGCCCGATCCCCTCTGCGCTTCGGCCCCGGGGACAAAGAAAGAACACCGAGCCAGGAGAGCGGTCAAAGCCGGAACTCTGTTTATTACAGCAAGCAGGGGTTTTTATAAGGTACCAGGGGCGGGGGAGCTCTTATCCAATAGGGAGTTGACACACTGCTACCCGGGAGGAGGGGTGAGGACAGGGCAGGCGGGAAAAAAGTGCAGAGTCACCGTACCCCGGAAGTTAGTTCTTTTAAGTTTTGAGTTCTCCGCTTAGGTTTCGGTTTCCCAGAATCAGCCCGAAGCAAGTTTAAAATGGCTGAGGTACTTTCCCAAAATGGCTGGCGGCCCGGGCGTAGCCCAACCGACATAGAAAATAAAAAGAAAACCCCAGATTACTCAATTTTTATTTTAACATTTTGTGTAAATAAGCACACCACACAAAGTATGCTCTGTTTTGACCCCTTCTTCCCATTATAGACCAATCATTCTAGGAACTCGGCAGGCAGTTATAAGTCTGAACTGCAGCCAGTCTTCGTTTATTCTTTTGAAGGTACATAGATTCTTCTTTTAAGGCTTTACTTAAAGTAGAATATCCTGACATTTAAACTGATAGGTGTAACCACTGAAAAATAGAGTTCTGAGTCATCTGAAATTATATACTAGCTGAAGTCATGGGAATGAAGGATGTATGTCCTTTAGGGAGGATGCAGAGGAAAGAAGAGGGTGCTGGAAACAGAAGGTTGCTGTACCAACTGAGGGCTAGAGGTGGGCTAGGAGAGTTGGGAGCTTGGGCGTCAGGTGGGGAGAGGTTGGTTAAAGGAAGATGTGAGAGGTGCTATGAAGACTGGTGTGATAGTGTAGGTTTGCCCTGACCCTGTTGAAACATGGAGTCATCTGACAAATTGGCCATTAAATGAATACCATATTTAATAAATATGTTGAAAGAAGGAAGGTGAGGATTTTTTTAGTGGGAGTTTATGCCATTATCTAACTTCCAAAGGAGTTAAGTGATTTTTTTGCTTAAATTAAGGTTTCTAGACCAGTGCTATATAGTATTTCCAGTCCAACAGAAATATAGTGTGAGCTACATATGTAATTTTAAATTTTCTAGTAGCCACATGAAACAGGTAAGATTTATTTTAATGACACATTTCCTTTATTATAGTATATCTAAAATATATCAACATGTAATCAATATAAAAAGTATTAATGAGATATTTTATACTTAAAGCACATCTCAATTCAGACTAGCTACATTTTAAGTGCTCCATCACCGCATGTGCCTAGTGGCCATTCTTATTTAGATAGTGCAGTTCTGGACTATTGCATCTGTATAAACTTATGCCCTCAGCTGGGTGGTTGGGTGTATGTCAGCATGTGTGCACCAAGGCAGTGAGCATCTGAGCTTCCCAGCTTCAGAGCCCAGGATGCCCTTCACTGAAGTACCATTTTCCTGCTTATCAGCTGAAGAATCTTTTTTTTTTTTTTTTTTTGGCGGCTGGCTGGTAAGAGGATCCAAATTTGCCTTTGACCTTAGAGTTGAAGAATCTTTACCCACATTGGCACACAGAGATTTGTTCCGACCCCAGGGCACGCAGGATTCCAGAGCAGATTCAGTGCACTAACTTAGTCCTTTAGAGCCATTTCCAGTACATAACTCAACTCCCTGAGGTCCCTGATAGCAGTCCTCTCCTTGACAGGACTGAGTTCTCAAGTTGACAATTTTCCCAAGTTGTTATGAAGCATTTTCCTCAGTAATCACCTGTGTAATCCTGATAGCAGTCCTCTCCTTGACAGGACTGAGTTCTCAAGTTGACAATTTTCTTTTTTTTTTTTTTTAAAAGATGACCGGTAAGGGGATCTTAACCCTTGACTTGGTGTTGTCAGCACCATGCTCAGCCAGTGAGCGAACCGGCCATCCCTATGTGGGATCCGAACCCGTGGCCTTGGTGTTATCAGCACCGCACTCTCCCGAGTGAGCCACGGGGCCGGCCCTCAAGTTGACAATTTTCCCAAGTTGTTATGAAGCATTTTCCTCAGTAATCACCTGTGTAATTCACTTCATTAAGCATTCAGAGGACTTGCTGTACACTTGGGCAGTCTGCATTGTAATTCACATATGTTTACACACTTATGTCTTAATCTGCTAAAGGGGCGCCCTTTGAACCATATTGTAGTAATTCATAACAGCTAAAGCAAAAAGACAGTTTTGGAATTTTGCTGAGGAGTATTTCAGAACCCCCAGCTTCCCAATCCCTCTAATTTCTCATTTCTTGTGCTCAGTTCACAGCATCAAGTTTCAGACTGATGGCAAGCACCAGCCTAAGTAGTTGCTGTTTTCTGATCTGTACAGCTTTCTTAAATGCAGGAGAGGTGATTGGGTTGTTCCGAGGACATGTTTGCCTTAGACAATAAGGAGCCAAATCACTACAATGTCTTCCCAATAACCTCAGGGGAAGCAGAATTGGCTATTGATTCCAAAGGGAGAATGTAGGAATAGGAGAGAGACTATGCAAGCCAAGGACAACGAAGCTGTGGCCAGAAGGGAGACAGAACATTGGATGGCTGTGTCTGGTTGGTAGACAGGACTCTGAGCCCCACAGTCAGGTGGACCCAGAGACCTGGGACCCACGAATGAGACACAAAGACGCCAGGGTGAAAGAGAGGCCATGCTTTGTCAGAGAAGCTCCTTCTGGGATGGGAGAGGTAGCTCAACAAAGGCTGATCTCCAGGGGGCTCCCCTGTAGCCCACTGGCCATTGACTGTCCACATAACTGCCACAAGCACAGCATTGCAAAGCCTTCTACCCAGTGCTGCTTCTGCTCAGCCTCATCTTTCCTCTTCACTCCTCTTTCTCACCTCTGCCCCCACTTTCCCCAGTCTGGCTTTTGCTGACATTTTCCCCTGAACAAGTTCTGTGTATTTCTTAAGGCAGTCTAGCTGAGGGTTGGAACCTGTGCTTGATAAAACAGGTGGAAGTGGGTTTGAATCCTGGCTCACAGATCACTTGGCAAGCTTTCTCCCTCATCACTGTAAACAGTATTAGAGTGTCAATCTGGCTTCAGTTCAACTGTGTGTGAAAGAAAATGCACATTTTTTATTTTTGACTTATTCAAGATGGAAGTTTTTTTCCCTCTCCAAAAAAAGGAGTCAAGTTAGACAGACCAGGATGAGCAGGGGAACTTCTCAACATGGTCAGGAAACCCAGACTTTTCCTATTTTGCTGTCTGTCGTCCTCAAAATGTGGCTGTCACCTCCAGAATCACTGTGTGGCCTCCTGTCATGATCTTTGCATTCCAGCCAGCAGAGAGGAGGAAGACATAAGGAAAGGCCTGCTCCTTTTTTTTTTTTTTTAAGATGACCGGTAAGGGGATCTCAATCATTGGCTTGGTGTTGTCAGCACCATGCTCAGCCAGTGATCCAACCATCCATCCTATATAGGATCCGAACCCGTGGCCTTGGTGTTATCAGCACTGCACTCTCCCAAGTAAGCCACGGGCTGGCCCCCTGTTCCTAACTTTAAGAAAGCTTCTTGGAAGTCCCACACAGTTCTGCTTAATCTCCTTGGCTAGAATTTAGTCTTGTGGCTATACCTAGCTTCAAGAGATACTGGGAAATAAAAGCTTTATTGAAGGTAGCCATGTGCTCAGCCAGGTGCTTTATTCTGGAGGAAAGGGAGAACAAATGGTAGTCTCATTTCATAAAAAGTAACCACTTCGTAGGATTGTCTTGAGGATTAAATGAGCCAATGCATAAAAAAGGCTAGTCTGGTACCTGGGGTGTAAGAAGATAGCAATAACTTATATCTCTCATTATTATTAAATAAAACTCAGCTCACATCACCCAGAGTCTATTAACCCCCTTATTTCATGAATTCTTTCTCTGAATTTCATGGGTCTGATTTTTTTTATGGTATTTGTCAGTTTCTATCTTTTATTTATGTATATGTCTTAAGCTGTTTCATTTAGATGTTTTCTGTTGTAAGAAAGTTAATCTCAGCCTGCCAGTTAGCTCAGTTGATCAGAATGTAGCCTTACAACCCCAAGGTCACAGGTTTAGTTCCCCTTACTGGCCAGCCACCCAAGAAAAAAAAGAAACTTCATCTCAAATAGACACAAGGGGTTACTGGCTCACATAACTGAAAAAAGTCCAGTGATAGGATAGGCTTCACATATAGTTTGATCAAGGCTGTTTCCCTTTCTCTGATTTTCTCTGCTCTGCCCTCTCCATGTCAGGCTAAGGCTGCTCTCCCTCATTGCTACAAGAGAAATGTAAGCAGCCCCTGAGATTACATATTTCTTTGCTTATATCGAAGGGAATAGCCTTTAAACATTAAGTCTCTAACTTTACTTTGACCAGACCATCCCTCAACTAATTACAGTGAGCCAGGGAAAGCCACACACTGAGTGGCTTGGCCCTGCACATTTGTTGTAACGAGAGCCTTGAGATTACCTATTCTGGAGTTGAAGACAGGGTGGGTCCCACTGGGACCACATGGCTGCTCATGGGTGTTTTTCTAAAGCAAAATCAGAGGGGCGATGGATGCTGGATGGGCAACCAATGCAAGCCTACAATTCAAGCCTACTAATGCCTAAATGTCTGGGCATCCAGTGGCTTTCTTGCTGTCCACAGCATCTAGCAGAGCATATTGTCACATATTTGCTGAATTTAGGAATTGGTAAGTTTGACAACGCAGTGGTTGGCAGTGGAAGCATTCTCAAATGTAACCTGTTAGTCAGTAAATAGAATAACTGGTACCAGATCGTTGACTGTCTCTTTGGCATAAAGGAGTAAGGAGCAAGGAGCAGGAGGGAGGTGTCA